AGGGGGGGCCCCCGGCTGCGCCATGCCGGGCGACGTCACGGTCCTTGATTTTAATCTATTCATAAAGGGCTTTTTTGGCAAGGGCAACATGTTTTAAATTATAAAATTAATAATAAAATATTTTACTGCTAAAATGAAACCCTGCATAAAAAAGTATTGGAACTGAATAAACACATAATTTCACAAACAACAAAATGATAATGGCCTTCCTGATTAAAGAAGTGCCACTTCTGTAAGTTACCAGATTTACATGGAATGCACTCAAAATATTCATAATCTGTGTCCCACAGTGTGTAGTATAGGAGTGGAGAAGCCCAAAGTGCACTCCATGGTGTAACTATCTCTTTTAAGCCATCAAGCAGGGAGAGGTTTAATTGCAGGGCCATGACTCATCTTGCAGTAGCAAGGGTTGGCCAGTTTTACCACCATCACCTCCAGATTTAAGTTTCACACTCAGTGAACTCAGGAAGAAAACCAAGATGGCATTGCTTTGGCAACACTTTGGCACCCATCAATTGACAGCACACAATACAGGATATATTACAAAGTCACAATCAATTGGATTGGCCTCTAGTTGTCTCTTTCAAACAGTGTAAATAACATTCACAATCTAAAATCCCAAAGAAATCTGAGAAGCATTGGGGAGAATGGTAAAATGGTAAATATAAGTTTAACAATTCAATTATGATGGCCCATATTGTTTGAAAAGTCCTACTCCTCAGTTAAAAATAGTGCTCTTATTTAAAAGTCTCTGACAAGCTGCTGTGACAGTTTTTGTCAAATTATGATCTCAAATTAGCACATAACATTGAACTAAGCTGTTCAATTAATCAGTGAGCTAGATGACTGCCATTAAACTCCCCCTAAACACAGAATAGGCTGTTGATTTTTTTTTTATCCCCACTGCATAAGTGGATATAAAATCTGACAATATTACTTAGGCATCTGTTAAGCTTTATATATACAGTATACTTAAAGGTTCCTATATTTTTTGTGATATAACTAGAGTGTTGCTCTTTATGTGAAGCAATATTAAGCCCTTTTTGCTATATTGGCCAGCACAGCACTAGTATGTTATCATTATATGCAATTTTTGTGGCAAAACAGTCACAGGTTGTCTCTCCTTCGAGTCTACGTCAAGTCTTTGTAAGTAATACTACAGTTTATTTGAGAGAATGTAATTTACTTAACGATGTGTTAGTTACGTGTGTTAGACATTTTTACCGCGACGCGAGAAACTGATCATCTTGTCCCAAATGGATCAGCTGTGCTTCTTCAAAGCTAGATTTTTGTCATGGTTGGTCGAATGATAGGACATTCAATAATAAATGGAGGGCCTCCTTTGTCAGGGCTCAGCTTGCCAGTGGTGCATGCTTTGACAAGTGGTTCAAAGGAATTGGCCATGTCATACCTGTGCCCGGAGGACTGCCCAGACATTGAACATCAACAGACTATTGGTCTGGTAAGCAACATGTCAATTCTTTTATACATAGTTAAATATAGAACATTACCCATGTAATAGCAAGTTGTAAGAGCAAAATTGAATGTTATCTAACTTGCAATAATGATACCGCTTTACAGCTACAGAAAGAAGATATGACAGAGGAAGAAATGTCAAGGGTGTCCAACCTGTGTCTGGAATGGTACTTCCCAGGGCCGACAAAAAGATACCAACAAACTACTACTTCTACAGCAGCTTCTCACATATGCTGTAATTACCTTCTTCTTAGCTTTATTATAGTTTATTTTATGCTGTGTCTATAATACTTCATGAGAACAATGATATTAACGCTACTACAATTTGCAGGTTCTTCATAGGCTAAATGTCAAAGTGAAGCACCTGAGAAAGGGCCTGAAAGAAACAGGTCTCTGGCCACTTATATCCTGCAGACCAGATGTGGTGCCCATCCTTTTCCCCAGGGAGCATGACATTGAAATCAGCCCCCAGGTACATTGAACGAAATGTACAACTTTTTTGGAGCACACAGAACACAAACTACTTAAAAACAAGGTAGTATTACATGGCAGCTTTAAATCTACTGTACACATTAACACTGAATGTTACAGGTCATCCTGCAGTCAATCAAATGGCCCCAGGCAATTTCTGACAGCGAGGACAGTGATGCCATGGCATCGGAAACCTTCCTTGTCACAGGGTTTTTT